TTAGAGCCCATTTTTCAAGTTTTGCTTTTCTTGCAATGGCTTTTTGCATCTTTGTCATGAAATCTTTGCCCATGCCTATGTCCTGAATGATATTGCCTTGGCTTTCTTCTAGGGTTTTTATAATGTTGGGTTTTACATTTAAGTCTTGAGTTTATAGGGATTTGGTTTCAGTTTTCTGCATAGGGCTAGCCAGTTCTCCCAACACTGTTTATTATATAGGAAATTCTTTTCCCATTGCTTGTTTTTGTCAGGTTTGTTGAAGACCAGGTGGTTGTATGTGTGCGGTCTTATTTCTGGGTTCTTTATTCTGTTCCATCAGTTTATCTGTCTTTTCTTTTACCCGTACCATGATATTTTGGTTACTGTAGCTCTGTAGTATAGTTTGAAGGTGGGTAGTGCGATACCTCCGGCCTTGTTCTTTTTGCTTAGAATTGCCTTGGCTATTTGGACTCTTTTGGTTCCATATGAATTTTTGTTTTTTTAAGATGGAATTTCATTCTTGTTGCCTAAGTTGGAGTGCAATGGCATGACCTTGGCTCACTGCAACCTCTACCTCCTGGTTCAAGTGATTCTCCTGCCTCAGACTCCCAAGTAGCTGGAATTTATATGCGTGTGCCACCATGCCTGGTTAATTTTTTTATTTTTTATTTTTAGTAGAGATGGTGTTTCGACATGTTGGTCAAGCTGGTCTCAAACTCCCAACCTCAGGTGATCCGCCCTCTGGCCTCCCAAAATGCTGGAATTACAGGTGTGAGGCACTGCGTCTGGCCTTGTTTCACATGAATTTTAAAATAGTTTTTTCCTAGTTCTGCAAAGAATGTCAGTGGGAGTTTAGTAGGAATAGCATTAAATGTATAAATTTCTTTGGGTAGTATGGACATTTTCATAATACTGATTCTTCCGATCTATGGGCATGGAATGTATTTCCATTTGTTAGTGTCATCTCTGATTTATTTGAGCCGTGGCTTTTAGTTCTCCTTGAAGAGGTCCTTTACTTCCTTTGTTAGCTGTATTCCTAGGTATTTTATTCTTTTTGTGGCAATTATGAATGGGAGTTTATTCTTGATTTGTCTCTTAACTGTCCTGTTTTAGGTACATAGGAATGGTAGAGTTTTTTTTTTCTCATTTATTTTGTATCCTGAGACATTGCTGAAGTTGCTCATCAGCTTAAGAAGCTTTTGGGCTGAGACAATGGGCTTTTATAGATATAGGATCATGTCATCTGCAGAAAAGATACTTTGACTTCCTCACTCTTTTTTTTTTTTTTTTTTTTGTGAGATGGAGTCTCGCTCTGTTGCTCAGGCTGGAGTGCAGTGGTGCAATCTCAGCTCAACACAACCTCTGCCTCCCAGGTTCAAGTGATTCCCCTGCCTCAGTCTCCTGAATAGCTGGGATTACAGGTGCACACCACCACAGCCAGCTAATTTTTGTATTTTTAGTAGAGATGGGGTTTCACCATGTTGGCCAGGCTGGTCTTGAACTCCTGACATCATGATTTGCCCACCTCAGCCTCCCAAAGTGCTGGTATTACAGATGTGAGCCACTGTGCCTGGCCATGACTTTCTCTCTTTTTATGTGAATACTCTTTATGTCTTTCTCTTGCCTGATTGCCATGGCCACAAATTCCAATACTGTGTTGAAAAAAAGTGGTGAGAGTGGGCATTTTTGTCTTGTGCTGGTTTTCAAGACAAATGCTTCCAGCTTTTGCCCATTCAGTATAATATTGGCTGTGGGTTTGACATAGATGACTTTTATTATTTTGAGGTATGTTCCTCCAATACCTAGTTTATTGAGAGTTTTTAACATGAAGAGATGTTGAGTTTTATCAAAGGCCTCTTTTGCGTCTCTTTAGAATATTATGTGGTTTTTGTCTTTAGTTGTGTTTATGTGATGAACCACATAAATGGATTTGTGTATGTTCAACCAACCTTGCATCCCAGGGATGAAACCTACTTGGTCGTTGTGGATAAGTTTTAAATGGGTTGCTGAGTTCAGTTTGCCAGTATTTTGTTAAGGATTTCTGCATCGATATTTATCAAGAATATTGGCTTGAAATTTCCTCTTTTTTTGTTGTATCTTTGCCAGGTTTTGGTATCAGAATGATGCTGGCCTCATAGAATGCCTTAGGGAGGAGTCCGTCCTTTTCTATTTTTTGGGATGGTTTCAGAAACAATTGTGATAGGGGCTAGAACTGAAGCCTAAGCACTGCCATCTTATGGAGAAGCCACTTGGACCCTGGGCAGAGGTGTCGTTCTAAGAACAGTTAATGTACATCAATTCTCAGAAGTGTTAAGGGTAAAAATTTCCACTGCTACCCCCCATTCCCTTGCAACAAACAGCAGACTTTAGCTTCTGTACAGAAAGCTTGCCTTGCAAGCCCCCTGAACAAGAAAAGGATGTGGTTTTGTAGCTTAAATGCCTTGCTCCCCCTGAGGTCGGGGACACGGGTTGGAGAGACATGAGTCCTCCGTGGCCGCTGGCAATAAAGACCCTGCAATTTGGCATACTTTTGTCTTGGTGTTGATTTTCTGCTCGCTCCGGTGATGCACGATGGTACCAGCTCTTCTTTGTACCTCTGGTAGAATTCAGCTTTGAATCTATCTGGTCCTGGCCTCTTTTTGGTTGGTAGGCTCTCTATTACTGTCTCAAATTCAGAACTCATAATTGGCCTATTTAGGGGTTCTGTTTCTTCCTAGTACAGTCTTGGGGGGATGAATGTGTCCAGGAATGTATGGGTCTCTAGTTCTTTTAGTTGTAATGTTAGGTTGGTAACTTGAGATCTTTTTAGCTTTTTAATATGGACATTTAGTGCTATAAATTTTTCTCGTAACACTGCTTTAGCGCAACTCAGAGATTCTGCTACACTGTCTCTTTATTCTCATGAGTTTAAAAGGACTTCTTGATCTTTGCTTTAATTTCATTATTTACACAGGAATCCTTAAGGAGCAGATTGTTCAACTTCCATGTAGTTGCATGGTTTTGAGTGAAGTTTTTATTCTTGAGTTCTAATTTGCTTGCACTGTGGTTTGCGAGACTGTTATGATTTCAGTTATTTTGCAATTGCTGAGGCATGTTTTACTTCTGATTATGTGGTCAGTGTTAGAGTAAGTTATATATCGTGATAAGAACAATGCATATTCTGTTTTTTGGGTGGAGAGATCTGTAGATATCTATCAGTTCCACTTAATTTAGGGCTGAGTTCACATCCTGAAATCTTTGTTGATTTTCTATCTTGATGACTAATATTGTCAAGCGGATTATTAAAGTATCCCACTATTATTCTCCCGGAGTCTTAAGTCTCTTTGAAGGTCTCTAAGAACTTGCTTTATGAATCTGGGTTCTCCTGTGTTGGGTACATATATATTTAGGATAGTTAGCTCTTTTTGTTGAATTGAAACCTCTACCCTTATGTAATGCCTTTGTCTTTTTGATCTTTGTTGGTATAAAATCTGTTTTGTCAGAAACCAGGATTGCAACCTTTGCTTTTTTGTTATCTACTTGTTTGGTAAATTTTCATCCATCTCTTTATTTTGAGCCTATGTGTGTCTTTCCATGTGAGATAGGTCTTTTGAAGACCTATCTCACACAAGAACATATCAAGAACATATCAATGGTTCTTGGTACTTTATCCAGCTTGCCAGCTGTGTATTTTAATTAGGGCACTTACGCCATTCATATTTAAGGTTAGTATTGTTACGCGTGGTTTTGATCCTGTCATCATGATGCTAGCTGGTTATTTTGTAGACTTGTTTATGTGGTTGCTTCATAGTGTCACTGGTCTGTGTATTTCAGTATGTTCTTGTAGTGGCTAGTAATGGTAACTTTCTATATTTAGTGGTTCCTTCAGGAGGTCTTATCAGGCAAGTCTGCCAGTAATAAATTCCCTTAGTATTTGCCTTGTCTGAAAAAAAATCTTAATTCTCCTTCACTTATAAAGCTTAGTTTGGCCAGATATGAAATTCTGGGTTGGAATTTCTTTTCTTTAAGAATATTGACTCGGCCCCCAATCTCTTCTGGCTTGTAGGTTTTCCACTGAGAGGACTGCTGCTAGTCTGATGGGCTTCTGTTTGTAGGTGGCCTGTCTTGCTGCCCTTAACATTTGTCTTTCATTCTAACCTTGGAGAATTTGATGATTATATGACTTGGGAATGGTCTTTTCATGGAGTATCTTACTGGGGTTCTCTTCACCCCGCGGGGCTCCGCGGCTCAGGGGGTCGTCCAGGGGCGCGGGCCCGGCTTCGCCCTGGACGCCCAGGGTGTCCGCCCCCGCCCTGGTTTGGCCGACGGCGGCAGGGACTGGGCTCGGGGCGCCCACTCCCACCTCTCCGGGGCCCACGTCCTCCACACCGCCGGGAGGACTCCAGCGGCTGCAGCGTCGCCATCGCCGGGCAGACCCGGGCCGACCTCAAAGCGACCGCGCGGTGGGGCCGGCGGGGACCGGGGCTGTGCGGCCGGGGGAGGGGGCGCGGGGGGCTGCGGCTGCCGGGAGCCCCCGGGAGCTGCTCGGCACCGAGGGTCCTGGGGCCGCCCCGCCCCGCACAGCTCCGGGTGGGCTTGGGGATGGAGACACACTCTCAGCCCACATCGCCCCGCCAGCCGCGCTCCGAGGCCTGACCGAGGACCCCTCACCCCAGTTTTACAGACACAAAGCTGAGGCCAAAGACGGGACGGTCCCTTCCTGCGCATTTGCTGCCTGCTGCGTGGACACCGCTGAGCTCTTGTTCACAGCGGGCAGAGACCGGCCGCCCAGTCCCCCCAGGACCCGGCTTCCTGGCGAGGAGGGCGTCCTCAGCAACGGCCACCCGTCCCGAAGCGTTCTTCATCCGAGGTTACTGCTCCAGCCGCTGCGAGGCCCGCAGGGCGCTGGGGATGCGCGACCGACTCCCCTGAACCTGCCCCTCCCGCGTCAGGGAGGGCTGCGCACCCCACTCGCTGTGTGAGGACGGACTGAGGTCAGCACGCGGGCTGCGCCCCAAGGCGGGGTTTCTGGAGAGGTGATTCGTGGGCCTGGAGGAAGGACGGGCTGTGTGTGTGTGACTCCGTGTGTGTGTCACTGTATATCTCTGTGTGTGATATTCTGTGTGTGTGTGACTCCGTGTGTGTGTCACTGTATATCTCTGTGTGATATTCTGTGTGTGTGACTCCGTGTGTGTCACTGTATATCAGTGTGTGTGTGTTACTCTGTGTATGCTTGAGATTCTGTGTGTGTGACTCCGCATGTGTCACTATATCACTGTTACTCTGTGTGTGAGATTCTGTGTGTGTGTGACTCCGTGTGTCACTATATCACTGTTACTGTGTGTGTGTGAAATTGCGTCTGTCACCTTGTGTGTGACTGTGTGTGTCACTGGGCTGTGTGTGCGCGCGCGTGTGTGTACGTCTGTGTGCGTGTGTGCGTATATAATTTCTAAATGGACATCACCTTACACACCACAAGGTTAAAAAATGACCCCTGTGCTGTTCCTGGCCAAGCCCGGAGAGAAAGCCCTGCCTGAAAGTGCCTGGAGGCCCGAGCCTGGGACCCTCACCACATTCAATGGAGTGTATGGCTGCAACTTCTGTCACTCAAGGCCTGAGGGCGGGGATCGGAGTCCTAGCCAATCAGGGCGCTGGAGCGAGAACTGCCCAATGAGCCGGAGAGGAGAAAGCGGCCTCCGGGATCTGTGGCGGCCTTTGCCTCTGGCTACTGCCAGGGCTCGGTGTAGGGTTTTACCGCCCTGCATGCTCGCCGCGGAGGCCGGGGTGATTCAGCCGCAGCCTCGGCCTCCGTCGCTCTGTGACCTGGGGTCTCGGGTGATTCGTAGCTAAGACTCCGCGACACCCCGAAGCCCAGAAATGGTGAGTGTGCGGGGCAGGGCGTCCCGAGGCTGGGGAGGCCTCATCGGAACCGGCGGGAAATGGCGGCGGCGGGACGGAGTCTGGGAGCCGAGTCCCCGCGGCCGCCGCTCAGCCGTCGGTCCTCAGTCCCCTCCGCGGAGGGACCCGGGCTCCCGACGGTCCCCGCACGGCGGCTCTGGCCCAGCCTGCAGCCCTTGTTGTCAGCTCTGCGCCCGCAGCCCCGCACCTTCCCCGGGCTGCGAGCTGAGGAGCTCCGCGGTGCCCGCGTGGGCGGCGCTGTGGTCCGTGGTCCCGTCCCTACTTGACCCTGTTCGGATTAGATGGAGGCTCCGTGAAAACGTGGGGTTCCCGTGAGCAAACGGGGACTCGTGCACGGGGCGGCCCCGGCCGTGGCTCGCGCTCTGGGGGCTGCCAGCGGGTCTTGAAGGAAAGGCTCTTGTGAGGGGTGTGGGGAGGCGAAGCGGATCGCCCGCCGCCCCCTTTCCCAGCAGCTCCCTCGCCCCGGGCGTCTCCCCCGCGTGGCTGTTTCTGGGGGGGCGTCTCTTAGACCCCGCCGTGGGTGCGCCCGGCGCTCCGCAGAGTTCTGAGCGGTTCTGCCACGTGACTGACCCCGAGGAGGGTGTGGGCGCCCTTGGTTTGCGGGCGGGGTTCGGAAATGAGGACGCGTGTCCAGAGGCCGGGACTGGCGTCTGCGGGGGGCGGCTGCGGGAAGAGCGCTGAGCTTGTGGGGTCGGCGCTGACTCTGGGTGGTGTCGTTAGTGAGGTGCTGGACGTCCCGTCGGGGTGGAGCACTGACTGCTGTTGAGCAAACTCCGAACGTTTTCTGTCAGAAGACAGACATGGCTGAGCCTGGGCTGGAGGGAGGGAGATGCCAGGTGTCTGCGGGAGGTGTGACTGGGTTCTGTCCATTCGCTGTCACACTGGGTCCTGTTCTTCCAGGTCTCCAGAGGAGAGAGGACTGGAAACTTAGAGGAAGGGAGTTCTGAGAATTATCCCTCCCTGCACCCTGCTGCCAGCCCCCACCCAATTCTAACCCACTCCTGAGCACGCCCATGGCAGCTTTGGTCCTAGAGTGGTCTGCCAGGAACACACACACTGCCCAGAAGACTCCTGGCTCATCTCAACCCCAGACACTGGATCTGTAGCAGGAACCTGATTCCTTCACCAACCCAGGCTTCTGGACCTCCTAATGCTATTCTCCTCTGGGTTTATGGACACAGAAATGAGTCAGAAAGTAGCCCTGCCTGGGCCTGCTCTTGTAGCACAAACCATTCCTTTTGTTAATCCTGCCCTACCGCCATCCAAGGCTCTTGATAGCTCCTTTCTCGTCTGCTTTTTCCTTTCCTCACACATCGTCTTCCCTGTGCACACAGTGTAGCCGAGTCCTTCCCTCATGTGCTACTAGAATTAAGACCATGCCTTTAGACCTGGCTGTTGTGGGAACACACACAAATTAGAAAGAAGAGGCTTAATGCTTTCTCTTTAGAATGAGTGAAGAATTTTTGTTCTTCTGCCTTAAAGCATTTAGTTTGAAAACTTTTTTATTTAAATGTTTTCTATGCTTCTTTGAAACATATGTATATCATTTTTATCTGTTAACTAGGTTATTTGTCTTTTTTGACTCAAAATTGTCTTTATCTAGGACATGGAAAGTGTTGCTTTGAAATGTAACTAGCGGGCCCTTGCGGTGGCTCACGCCTATAATCCCAGCACTTTGGGAGGCCGAGGCGGGTGTATGGGCGGGTGTATCACGAGGTCAAGAGATCGAGACCATCCTGGTCAACATGGTGAAACTCCGTCTCTACTAAAAAATACAAAAATTAGCTGGGCATGGTGGCGCGCGCCTGTAGTCCCAGCTACTCGGGAGGCTGAGGCAGGAGAATTCCTTGAACCCGGGAGGCGGAGGTTGTGGTGGGCCAAGATCGCTCCATTGCACTCCAGCCTGGGTAACAAGAGCGAAACTCTGTCTCAAAAAAAAAGAAAAAAGAAATGTAAATAGCAAGAATGTACACCCTATTCCACAGTTTCTGTAGGAGAATAGGAGGCTGCCTTCAGCAGGTACCTTACATCACATTTCAAATCTACCTTCTGTTATGAAGCTGCAGGAAGTTTATTTTCCATTTGAATATTACCAATTAGGAAACCCAGATAACGTCCCAAATTAGGTGGCATTATTATAAACTGTGTGTGACAAATGGTGCTGTCAAGTCCTCTGCTTGAGAACTAATTATGGTGACTTTCTTTCTGTTTACAATCTTAGTAGATTGCTGTAATGCATGCCCATCACATTTTGTTTAATTATATGACAACACATTTTCTTGCTGTTCTGTTATTGTGGAGAGTTCAGAGATGATTTTGCTTTTAGCTATATTTTCCACACACTGCCCAGAATTACCAAATGCTATACACAAAGTACCCACCAGGCTTCACTTTAGAGGAAAACTATCTTTCTCAGGATTCTAGTCACAACTCACAATTGTGCAGTAACGTGCTTTCCAAAGCTGCAAACAAATCTTTTCTATAAATTTAAAACCAGTGTTTCTATGGACATCCCATCCAGCAACCTGTTCTCCATCCCTGCAGTTTCAGTGGCTATTTCTTACAAGTCTCAAAGAAAATAGAAACATAAGAATAAAAATTCCTCTGAATTGTACTTAGCACTTTCTTTCTGTCTCTCTCCCATCCACTTGTATTTACTAGCTATTATTCTATGCATTAAAAAAAAAGATCAAAGGGGGGAAAAAAGAAAGGAAATAGAAATTCTGGGCCCTGCATTTAAATCTGGGAAGTATAGAACACTTAGTTAGTATCCACCTCCCAGGATGTTATGAGAATTAACACACATAATGTGAGCTTCCCAGCACAGTGCTCCGTGACATATGTCTGAGCATGTATTACATGCCCCATGAAGGTGGCATTAATGCAGGTGCACATGATTGTTTTTCAAATGCAGACTTAGACATATCCACCATTTCCAACTTCTGTAACCTTTAAAGGGCTGCAGAATGCCATGTTTCAAGATGATGATTGGTGGTCTTATCTTCGGATGAAAAGTATTTGTGTTGTGACAAGGGTGTTGGGGTAAGACACTCTGTGTGCGTGTCTGCTTTCTCTAGCTGAACAGTACTATAATGGGTCTGGGGGAGGAATGTCAGCATTAACAGACTTGCTATAAAAAGCTAATTCATGGACTCTTTTCAAACCTGCAGAATTTTGTTACTTAAACCGAGGACTAGAATATGAAATAATTTTATATGTACATTGAAGCTTGAGAGGCAATGCTTAACTAAGTGTCTCTCAGCCTAGTCTTCCAGTAGGATCACATGGACAGTTTGAAGAGAAACTATCAGGTGTACCCTCTTCACAGATTCTGTCTGTTATTCTGGGTGAAAACATCCCTGTTTTTTAAATTCAGTTCCTCACATGATTCTACAGTAAGGCCATGGTCAAGCATGAGAGCTTCCAGATACTTTACTGAGATGTGAGTTCCACCTGTTTTCCAGGAGGTCACAGGGTCTACTCTGTTTGGTTTTGGTAGGGGCCTGTCAGTGTAGCCCATTTTCTTTTTTAATTATTATTTTATTTTTTTATTGCATTTTAGGTTTTGGGGTACATGTGAAGAACATGCAAGATTGTTGCATAGCTACACACATGGCAGTGTGATGTGTGGCCTTCCTCCCCATCACCTATATCTGGCATTTCTCCCCATGCTATCTCTCCCCATATCCCCACCCCCTATTGTCCCTCCCCTATTTCCCCCCTACAGACCCCAGTGTGTGATGCTTCCCTCCCTGTGTCCATGTGTTCTCATTGGTCGACAGTCACATATGAGTGAGAACATGTGGTGTTTGATTTTCTGTTCTTCTGTCAGTCTGCTGAGAATGATGGTTTCCAGGTTCATCCATGTCCCTACAAAGGACACAAACTCATCATTTTTGATGGCTGCCTGGTATTCCATGGTGTATATGTGCCACATTTTCTCTGTCCAGTCTATCATCGATGGGCATTTGGGTTGGTTCCAGGTCTTTGCTATTGTAAACAGTGTTGCAGTGAACATTCGTGTGCATATGTCCTTATAGTAGAACGATTTATAATCCTTTGCGTATATACCCAGTAATGGGATTGCTGGGTCAAATGGAATTTCTATCTCTAGGTCCTTGAGGAATCGCCACACTGTCTTCCACAATGGTTGAACAAATTTACAATCCCACCAACAGTGTAAAAGTGTTTCTATTTCTCCAAATCTTCTCCAGCATCTGTTGTCTCCAGGTTTTTTAATGATCGCCATTCTAACTGGCATGCGGTGGTATCTCAATGTAGTTTTGATTTGCATTTCTCTAATGACCAGTGATGATGAGCATTTTTCATATGTTTTTTGGCCTCATGTATGTCTTCTTTTGTAAAGGGTCTGTTCATGTCCTTTGCCCACTTTTGAATGGGCTGGTTTTATTCTTGTAAATCTGTTTTAGTTCTTTGTAGATTCTGGATATCAGCCCTTTGTCAGATGGGTAAACTGCAAAAACTTTTTTCCCATTCTGTTGGTTGCCGATTCACTCTAATGATTGTTTCTTTTGCTGTGCAGAACCTGTGGAGTTTGATTAGGTCCCATTTGTCTATTTTGGCTTTTGTTGTTAATACTTTTGGTGTTTTGGTCATGAAGTCCTTGCCTACGCACATGTCCTGAATGGTTTTGCCTAGGTTTTCTTCAAGGGTTTTTATGGTGTTGGCTCTTATGTTTAAGTCTTTAATCCATCTGGAGTTAATTTTAGTGTAAGGTGTCAGGAAGGGGCCCAGTTTCTGCTTTCTGCACATGACTAGCCAGTTTTCCCAACACCATTTATTAAACAGGGAATCCTTTCCCCATGGCTTGTTTTTATCAGGTTTGTCAAATATCGGATCATTGTAGATGTGTGGTGTTGCCTCCAAGGCCTCTGTTCTGTTCCATTGGTCTATATCTCTGTTTTGGTACCAGTACCATGCTGTTTTGATTACTGTAGCCTTGTAGTATAATTTGAAGTCCGGTAGTGTGATGCCTCTTGCTTTGTTTTTTTTGCTTAGAATTGACTTGGCTATGTGGGCTCTCTCTGGTTCCATATGAAGTTTAAGGTGGTTTTTTCCAGTTCTGTGAAGGTCATTGTTTGCTTGATGGAGACAGTGTTGAATCTGTAAATTATTTTGGGCAGTATGGCCATTTTCAGGATACTGATTCTTCCTAACCATGAACATGGAATGTTTCTCCATCTGTTTGTGTCCTCTCTTATTTCGTTGAGCAGTGGTTTGTAGTTCTCCTTGAAGAGGTCCCTTACGTTCCTTGTAATTTGTATTCCTAGGTATTTTATTCTCTTTGTAGCCATTGTGAATGGCAGTTCATTCTTGATTTGGCTCTCTTTAAGCCTGTTATTGGTGTATAGGAATGCTTGTGATTTTTGCACATCGATTTTGTTTCCTGAGGCTTTGCTGAAGTTGCTTATCAGTTTAAGGAGATTTTGGGTTGAGACGATGGGGGTCTTCTAGATATACAATCATGTCGTCTGCAAATAGAGACAATTTGTCTTCCTCCTTTCCTAATTGAATACTCTTTATTTCTTTTTCTTGCCTGATTGCTCTGGCTAGAACTTCCAATACTATATTGAATAGGAGTGGTGAGAGAGGGCATACTTCTCTAGTGTTGGATTTCAAAGGGAATACTTCCAGTTTTTGCCCATTCAGTATGATATTGGCTGTTAGTTTGCCGTAAATAGCTTTTACTATTTTGAGATACATTCCATCAATACCTAGTTTATTCAGGGTTTTTTGCATAAAGCTCTGTTGAATTTTGTCAAAGGCCTTCTCTGCATCAATTGAGATAACCATGTGGTTTTGTCTTTGGTTCTATTTATGTGGTGAATTACGTTTATACACTTGCATATGTTGAACCAGCCTTGCATCCCTGGGATGAAGCCTACTTGATCGTGGTGGATAAGCTTTTTGATGTGCTGTTGCAATCAATTTGCCAGTATTTTATTGAAGATTTTTGCATCTATGTTCATCATGGATATTGACCTGAAGTTTTCTTTTCTTGTTGAGTCTGTGCCAGGTTTTGGTATCAGGATGATGTTGGTCTCATAAAATGATTAGGGAAGGATTCCCTGTTTTTGGATTGTTTGGAATAGGTTCAGAAGGAATGGTATCAGCTCCTCTTTGTATGCCTGATAGAATTCGGCTGTGAACCCATCTGGGTTTCTGCTGAGAGATCTGCTGTGAATCTGATGGGCTTCCCTTTGTGGGTAACCTGACCTTTCTCTCTGGCTGCCCTTAGCATTTACTCCTTCATTTTAACCCTGGTGAATCTGATGATTATGTGCCTTGGGGTTGCTCTTCTTCAGGAATATCTTTGTGGTGTTCTCTGTATTTCCTGGACTTGAATATTGGCTCACCTTGCTAGGTTGGGGAAGTTTTCCTGGATAATATCCTGAAGAGTATTTTCCAGCTTGGATTCATTCTCTCCTTCACGTTCAGGTACCCCTATCAAACATAGATTAGGTCTTTTCACATAGTCTCATATTTCTTGGAGACTTTGTTCATTCCTTTTTACCCTCTTTTCTCTAATTTTGCCTTCTCGTTTTATTTCATTGAGTTGATCTTCGACCTCTGATACCCTTTCTTCTGCTTGGTCAATTTGGCTGTTGAAACTCGTGTATGCTTCGTGAAGTTCTCATGTTGTGTTTTTCAGCTTCATCAATTCACTTATATTCCTAAGTTGTTTATTCTCGTTAGCACTTCGTCAATTTTTTTAAGGTTCTTAGTTTCTTTGCATTGGGTTAGAACATGTTCTTTTAGCTCACAGAAGTTTCTCATTACCCACCTTCTGAAGCCTGATTCTGTCAGTTCATCACACTGATTCTCCATCCAGCCTTGTTCCCTTGCTGCTGAGGTGTTGTGATCCCTTGTAGGAGAAGAGGTGTTCTGATTTTCGGTGTTTTCATCCTTTTTGCGCTGGTTTCTTCCCATCTTTGTGTATTTATCCACCTGTTGCCTTTGTAGTTGTTGACTTTCAGATTGGGTCTCTGAGTGGACGTCAAGTTTGTTGATGATGAAGTTATCTCTTTTTCTTGGGTTTCCTTCTACCTGTCAGGCCCCTCTGCTGTAGGACTGCTGAGTTCCACTCCAGGCCCTGCTTGCCTGGAGATCACCTGCAGCAGCTGCAGAACAGTAAGGGTTGCTGCCAGTTTCTTCTGCTATCTTTGTCCCTGTAGGATACCCGCTGATGTCAGACTGAGCTCTCATTTATGAGGTGACTTTTTGGATATATGTGGGTCAGGGAGCTGCTTGAGGAGACAGTCTGTACTTTATACAAGCTCAAGTGCTGAGCTGTGAGCTCCAGTGTTCATTCAGAGTTGCCAGGCAGGTACATTTGAGTCTGCTGCAGCAGAACTCATAAACCCCCTTTTTTTTTCCGAGGTGCTCTGTCCCGGGGAGTTAGGGCTTTATTTATGAGTTTCTGTTGTGCTGCTGCCTTTTTTCAGGGCTGCCCTGCCCAGCGAGGAGGCAGCCTAGTCACTGTCTGCCTGTAGAGGCTTTGCTGAGCTGCTGTGGGCTCCACCCAACTGCCGTGTGAACTTCCCTGAAGTCCTGTTTATACGGATGTAGTTAGAACTACCTTGGTAATGGCGGCCCACCTCTGTAATGGCAGACTCTCGGGCTGCATCAGCAATGGCAGGCTGCCTCAGCAATGGCGGACTACCTCTGTAGTGGTGGAGTGCCTTGGTAATGGCGGACGCCCCTCCCCCACAGAGCTGGCCTGCCCCGGGTTCAGCTGTTCTTTGCTGTGAAACTCTCAATCCAGAGCATTTCAGATTGCTGTTTTTTTGTGGGCGTGGGACCAGCCAAGCCTAATCACCTGGCTCCTGGCCCCAGAGCCTTTTTTTTCTTTTGTCTCCCAGGTGTTCCAGTCACCTGTTGAAAAGGCACCAGGATCTGTGTGATTTCCTGTGGGGCGGCCCACAGCACTGGCTGAAGCAGGCGTGCTTAGATTTGTGGCACTTTTTTGCCTGGGAATCTCCTGGCCTGGCTCCCTGTTTCAGTCCCCTTTTCTATCAGTTGAATGGGTGACTGTCTTCCCTGAGGTCCAATCATCAGTTAAAATGGCACCCAGACCCGTGTATTTTGTATGGAGAACCGCCATGCTGGGGCACCGGCTGAAACAGCCACACCAGCCAAAACAGCTCCGCTGGCAACCCGTGGGGCTCCTCCACCTGGGAATCTCCTGGTCTGTAGGCAATAAAAGTCCGTCTGGAAATGCAGAGTCCACTCACCCTGCACACGTTCACTGGGAGCTGCAATCCTGAGCTGCTCCTAATCAGCCATCTTGGTGCTGTTGAGCCCATTTTCTTTATTGCAGCAACAGAAATTGTTGCTTGCCCTCCTTTTACCACGGTTACAGGATAGAATAGTTTAGAGAACATTACTGTGTTGAAAGTAGTTTTATCAGATAATTCCAGTCAATCACATGTCAGAACTAGTTCTCTTAACTCATTTTACCTGTAGTCAAATTAAGACCTCTGTAACTTGATACATATGTATTTTCAGAAACTCTTAACATTCAGGGATGTGACCATAGAATTCTCTCCAGAAGAGTGGAGATGTCTGGACCCTGCCCAGCAGAATTTATATAGAGATGTGATGTTGGAGAACTACAGAAACCTGGTCTCCCTGGGTGAGGATAGCTTTAATATGTAATTCCTAATTCTCTCAGCTTATTCCTTTGTAGAATGTCTCTTGGGAACTTTTTGTTTTGTCTCTACATAAATCTTCTGTTTTCTTGAGATAATTTGTGTCCTTAACTCTAGGTTAGTGGTAATTCTAGAGATTCAGTGACATGCAATATCATTTCCCACATCTTAAAATACAATTCATATTGCATTTTAAGTTATTTTTGATTCAGTAGTACTGGGTAGTGGAACTTAGGACCCACGGATTTAAAATACTTAAATATTCTAAAGATTCTATCAGGAAACAATTTTTGGATTAATTTTCTAGAATCTTCCATAATTTCTCTATTGTGCTTAGCATAGTACTAGGTTGGTAATTGGAGTATCCCTGTCAATAGTCATTTTTTTTTTTTTTTTTTTTTTAATAAAACAGGTGTTGCTCTCTCTAACCCAGACCTGGTCACCTGTCTGGAGCAAAGAAAGGAGCCCTACAATGTGAAGATACATCAGACAGTAGCCAGATCACCAGGTAGGTGACAGTGAATGAAGGAGAGGACACAGGCAAGGGGACCAAAGGTCAAGAAGGAAGCCAGGCCTTAAAATGTAGTTTGGGGTCAGGTGTGGTGGCTCACGCCTGTAATCCCAGCACTTTGGGAGGCCGAGGTGGGCAGATCACGAGGTCAAAAGATCAAAACCATCCTGGCCAACATGGTGAAACCCCGTCTCCACTGCAAATACAAAAATTAGCTGGGTGGGGTGGCACGCACCTGTAGTTCCAGCTACTTGGGAGGCTGAGGCAGGAGAATCACTTGAACCTGGGAGGCACAGGTTGCACTGAGCCGAGATCTTGCCACTGTACTCCAGCCTGGCAACAGAGGGAGACTCAGTCTCAAAAAAAAAAAAAAAAAAAAAAAAAACAGTAGTTTGGGAAGCTCTGCTCCAATGAATATAATTTCTGAAAAAGCTGCAGTTTTTTTTTTCTCATGTTCACAAATAGGGTCATCTTCTGTCCCATGCTGTTAAATCATCTAAGAATTCTTTTTTCTTCAGTGATCTCCCTTTAAGTTTACAGGGAAAGCCAATGTCTACTTTATCACTTATAAGGGGCTGCATGATCTGACTGCTGTTCCATTGCTTTTGGAGACATTGGAATATTTGTATATTGAGGAGTTGTATGGTAATGGATTTTTTTTCACATACTGTTTTTGCATGACGTCTAGAATGTGTAAGGTGAGTAATGGACATATTGGGATTTGGTACAGAAATCCCAGGAATACCAGGGACAGATGTTGTGTCTCTTCTGCTTAGTGATTTTTAATCCTGTAGAGGTTGCAAATGTAATTCTACAAAAATTCTTACTCAGCAAAAATTTTATCAGAACAGTAAGCGTTTTCCTAAATATGAAAAAATCTCATGTTAATTTACTTCAAAATATGATTGTTTTAGTATAAACAGGACTTTGTAATTTAAACTATATGTGCAGATTTTGGAAATTTATAATATACTTTAAAGCATGGGTTTCCAACATGGGCCACACTGGAAGAAGAATGGTCTTCCCTGGGCCACATTGGAAGGATTGTGTTGGGCCACACATAAAATACGCTAACACTAATGATAGCTGATGAGCTTAAAAAAAATGAAAGGTTTGTGAAAAATTTTTGTGATATCCTCCACACAGAAAAGCAAAAAGTCCTTGCATTCAAAGAGTTGGACACCACTGGATGAAAGTATCTACTCACCTTCTAATTTCTTAAATGCACTGTATCATTAACCAGCATAGAGCATTGCTAAGTATATATCAAGCTCTCAATTGTTACCTTATTTCTTAATAATTATTATCCTGTAATTTTGTCCCAGTAGGAAGTCTACTGAAATTCTGTCGTTGAGATGTATCTGTATCTATATAAAAATATGTGTCTCACACCCTCACCTATGTAAGTTATATAAGTGCATAGTAAGTTCTCGCTTAACATTGTCATTAAGTTCTTGGAAGCTAAGGAAAGCAACAGATTAAGAAAACTAATTTTATCAGAGTTTAATTGATACACACACCAGTTATGTTTGAATGGTATATAGCAACATTGTTTCATTTAAAGATGCAGTTTCAAGAACCCATTTTGAACATTGAGTGAGGACTTAACTGTACAGCTATGTTTGTGTGACATGGATTTTTCTGATAAATAAAAATTATATAACTACATATTTAATGTATACAATGTAATGATTTGATATGCATATACATTATGAAACCAAATGTAGTCAAGTTCATAAATCTATTACCTCACATAGCCATTTTGTTTGGTAGTAAGAATACATAAGGCCTACTGTTGTAGCAAATTTAAATGCTGTTTTGGTAACCTAATGCTAATGTACATTAGATTTCTCAGATTTACTCAACTTACAACTAAAAATTTGTACTCTTGAACAACGTCTCATATTCCCAACCTCAGGCACTAACAGCTACCGTTCTGCTGTCTGCTTCTGTGAGTTTACACTTTTAGATTTCCTATCTAATCAAGAAGATTCAGTTTCTTTTTCTTTCTGTGCTTGGCTTATTTCATTTAGTATAATGTCCTCCAGGTCTATCCACATTGTAAACGGCTGGATTTCCTTTTGTCTTATAGTTGAATAGTAACCTGTTTGTGTTTATGTACACACACCATGTATTGGCTATTGTAAACAGTACTACAGTAAACATGGGGAGGAAGATATTTCTTCTAGATGCTAAGTTATTTCCTTTAGTACTATGCCCAGAAATGGTATTACTGGATTATATGATGGTTCTAGTTTAATTTTTTACTATATTTTTATGATGACTTTATCAATTTGCATCTCACCAGCAGTGTACAAGATTTCCCTTGAATGTATTTCTTCTTTGAGAAAAAAAAAAAAATCTAACCTTTTACTTGTTTTTGAATATGGTATCATTATTGTTTTGCTTTGAATTGCAGAAATTTTTTTTTTATTGCATTTTAGGTTTTGGGGTACATGTGCAGAACATGCAGGATAGTTGCATAGGTGCACACGTGGCAGTGTGATTTGCTGCCTTCCTCCCCTTCACCCACATCTGGCATTTCTCCCCATGCCAGATGTGGGTGAAGGGGAGGAAGGCATGCCTCCCCAGCTCCCCCCCACTGTCCCTCCCCTATTCCCCCCAATAGACCCCAGTGTGTAGTGCTCCCCTCCCTGTGTCCATGTGTTTTCATTGTTCATCACACGCCTATGAGTGAGGACATGCGGTATTTCATTTTCTGTTCTTGTGTCAGTTTGCTGAGAATGATGTTCTCCAGATTCATCCATGACCCTACAAATGACACGAACTCATCGTTTCTGATTGCTGCATAATATTCCATGGTGTATATGTGTCACATTTTCCCAGTCAAGTCTATCATCGATGGGCATTTGGGTTCGTTCCAGGTCTTTGCAATTGTAAACAGTGCTGCAATGAACATTCATGTGCATGTGTCCTTATAGTAGAACAATTTATAGTCCCTTGGATATATACCCAGTAATGGGATTGCTGGGTCAGATGGAATTTCTATTTCTAGGTCCTTGAGGAATCGCCACACTGTCTTCCACAATGGTTGAACTAATTTACACTCCCACCAACAGTGTAAAAGTGCATGCTTCACGAAGTTCTCGTGTTGTGTTTATCAGCTCCATCTATTTACTCATATTCCTCTCTAAGTTGTCCATTCTTGTTATCATTTCATCAAATCTTTTTTCAAGGTTCTTAGTTTCTTTGTATTGAGTTAGAACATGTTCTTTTAGCTCACGGAAGTTTCTCATTACCCACCTTCTCATGTCTGATTCTGTCATTTTATCACACTCATTCTCCGTCCAGCTTTGTTCCCTTGCTGGTGAGGAGTTGTGGTCCCTTGTAGGAGGCGAGGTGTTCTGGTTTCGGGCGTTTTCCTCCTTTTTGCTCTGGTTTCTTCCCATCTTTGTGGATTTATCCACCTGTCGTCTGAGTAGTTGCTGATTTTCCAATTGGGTCTCTGAGTGGATGTCCAGATTGTTGATGATGAAGTATTTCTGTTCTTAGTTTTCCTTCTAACAGTCTGGCCCCTCTGCTGTAGGACTGCTGAGGTCCACTCCTGGCCCTGCTTGCCTGGGGAACACCTGTAGCAGCTGCAGAACCATGAGGGTTGCTACCAGTTTCTTCTTCTGCTATCTTTGTCCCTGAATGATGCCTGCCAAATGTCAGTCTGATCAGTCCTTTGTGAGGTGACTCTTTGGATATACGGGGGTCAGGGAGCTGCTTGAGGAGACAGTCTGTACTCTATCGGAGCTCAAGTGCTGAGCTGTGAGCTTCGTTGTTCATTCAGGGCTGCTAGGCAGGTACGTTTAAGTTTGCTGCAGCAGAACTCATAAAACCCCTTTTTTCCCTCAGGTGCTCTGTCTCGGGGAGTTAGGGCTTTATTTATGAGTATCCGTTGCACTGTCCTGCCCAACAAGGGGGCAGTCTAGTCACTGCCTGCCTGCAGAGGCTATGCTGAGCTGCCGTGGGCTCCTCCCTGCTGCCGTGTGTAATTTCCTGTAGTCCTGTTTATATGGGTGTGGTTAGAACTGCCGTGGCAATGGTTGCCTTCCTCTGTAATGGTGGACTCTCTCTGTTATGGCAGGTTGCCTTGGCAACAGCAGTCAGCAACGGCAGAGTACCTCCGTAAGGGTGGAGTGCCTCCGTAATGGCGGACGCCCCTCCCCCCACCAAGCTGCACCAGCCTGGGTTCAGCTGTGCTTGCCTGAAACTCTCAACCCCAAGCGTTTCCAATTGCTGTTTTGTTTTTGTGGGGGTGGGACTCGCCAAGCCTGATCTTGGCTCCCTGCCTCAGAGCCCTTTTTTTTTTTTTAAGTTAAACGGTTGACTCTCTCCCAGGTGTTCCAGTCACCTGCTGAAAGGTCGCCAGGATCTGTGTGATTTCCCGTGTGATGACCCACTGCGCTGGCTGAAACAACATCGCTACAACATCGCTGCCCGGGAATCTTCTGGCCTGGCTTTCTGTTTAAGTCTCGTTTAATCAGATGAATGTGCTAATCTGCCTTCCGAAAACTCCAATTGCCGGTTTAACAGGGCAACCAAACCAGTGTATTTTGTACAGAGTGCCGCTGTGCTGCGGTGCCGGCTGAAACAGCCGTGCCAGCCAAAACAGCCTGCGCTGGCATGCCCGTGGGGCTCCTACACCTGGGAATCTCCTGGTCTGTGGGCAATAAAGATCCGTCTGGAAATGCGGCATCCACTCACCCTCTGCGCTTTCACTGGGAGCTGCAATCCTGAGTTGGTCCTACAGCTCCACCTTCTCCTCCTCTGTCCACCGAATTGCAGAAATTTCTTACGCATTTTGGATATTAACTTATCAGAGATATGGCTTGCAAATACTTTTCTATTTTGTAGGGTTTTAAATTTTTTTGCCTTTTTATTTTTATTTTCTTTAAGAGGAGGAGGGATGGGGGAAGGGGAGCAAAATTTGGGTGATTTTTTTGTGTTTGTTTTTTTCTTCATAGAAGCTGTTTACTTTGATGCAGTCT